CAGCCAGCGGGGGCGAGGGGCACGGGCAGGCGCACCAACCAACTCCAACATGACTGTGGTGCCAGGAGCGGCATGTGCCCTTGTAGGACACCGGGCAGAGGTAACGAGAGGACAACCCGGACGGACATCTGTGTCCGGGCTCCTGCCCCTTCTAACGCCCAATACACGTGGTTCAGTGAAACCCAGGTGATGGGAATGGCCGGCAGGGCCCAGGCCCCAAAGCCGTCTCTGTCCTGCTCCCCCGACCTGTCAGCAGCTCCGCTACATGGCAGAGGGGACTCTGTGACCAAGGAGGGCTCCCTAGGCAGGGAGGCCGCCTGGGTCACCTGGGGGCCCTGAGAGGCCGCAAACGTGGGGTCCAGGGCCAGGAGGCTGTGGCGGTGGTTGCACCCTGAACGGGAGGAAGGAGCCCCGGGGGCTGAAGCAGACCCCCCCGAGTCTCGGGGAGGAGCCAGCCCTGTGGACACTTTGATTTGTGTTGGGTCGCAAGGGGGTCAGGAGCGGATGGTGACGCAGACACTGGGCCCTTCCTAGAATCCGGAACAGTCCAGGGCACCAGGCAGATGGTGACGCAGATGCCGGTCCCGCCCTGGAATTCCTAACAGGTCAGCTACCAGGCAGATGACGACACCTGGAAAAACCGCGAGGACCCCCGCGGCGGGAACTCCCACAGCTCATGCTCCCCGCCCTCACCAACAGCCGACTAAAAAAAGCGCCCCCTCCCTGTTGGTGCGGATCCACGTGCCCCGTCTTTGGGGTCCGTGGGTCGCCCGGGGATGCAGAATAAAGCCTTTTTTTTCTTTCTTTTCTGGTTACCTCGACTCCCTTTATTTCCTACGCTGCCTCCTGAGCCACCCAACCTAACAATTTGAACCCGCAGCCCATTCTGTGTGTGTTCATCCAATCCGAGAGTCCCCCACTTTTGCTTTCCATCGGCCCCTTAATCTACCGCCCATGGACTCCACGTGACCCCGCCCCCTTGCGCCTCCTTTTATTCTAACTTGCAACACAAGCTGCAAAACTGCCGTTTTCAGGAGCGTTTTCTCAACCCACTGAGACGTTACTCCCGGGCAAACGTCACCAGTTTGGCTCTAATAAATGCATGAAAAGTCCCTACAGATTTGGACATTTCTTACCTCGACACCATCCTAGAGGGGGGCCTGCCTGGTTCTAAGGTGCTGCCCAGACACCGCTGACCTGCTGTCCCGCAGAGCTGCAGTCCGCCAGCTCTCCCCGCACCCGCGAGGCTCCACACCCGCGTGGGCGCTTTGGCCGGTGCCCGCCCCGTGTGTCCATGTCTCCAAGCCTTGTGCCATCCACGACCCGCGGCCCCCCGAGGTGCTGCCCCCATGACGTCTTCTCTCCCCGCCCTGAGATGCCGACCCAGCGCCCCCCAGGGTCCCAGGTGACCCAACCGGACAGAGTTCCCCATGGGGCAGGTGGCCCCGGGCCAGGCCGCGCCCACGGTTGTCCTTGGGGGGTCGGTCCTTCGGGAACAGGCCGGGGACTGTCTGACTTGGGGGAGAAGGTCTGGCCAAACCGGCCTCCGGGAGTCGGGCTGGCTGGGGGCCAGCGCACCG